ACACACACATATATATATATATATATATATATATCCCCACCTACACTCGTCTATCTGAACTGAAGAATTTTTCAACCCATCATCATTTATCTCATCACATATTTTCTATTATGACTGCTGCCTGAAAACTCAATTGTTTTCTCAGAATTTAAAAATAGACAATGTTACCTTTTGTTTTGTCTGGTGCCACAAATTCTCCCTCTGAGGCCTCACCTGAGGACATGACTCGGTGGAAATTTCTGACCTTTGAAGGTTAAAAAAACTCTTCAATAATTAGTTTATGCTAGAAATGATGCACAGGTCAAAATGTCTATTTAACCACTCATTGGATTTTAATTAAATAAGTTTTACAAATCTATTAATAATTTTATTTATTCAGCAGCAACAAATAGTTAAATTACTTTTAACTTTCTTAGTAAAGCAGTGGTCTAAGCTGTTGTCTTCCAGACAGAGAGTCACAAGTTTTTATTCAGTCACCAGCTTCATCAACCTAACATGGAAAACCAGAAAGAAAAACGGATGGATGAACTTGTAGAAGCCCAGACACCACATTTCTTTAAATTATTATAGTTTATGTTATGTAAACCTTTTAGAAAGGCCTTTAAGGTGTTTGTTTAAAAGTGATCAAACGCATTACATGCATGGAGCTGACTTTTTGATTGAATTATATATTTTTAAAAGATTGTTGACAACATTGCAAAAACAACTGTAGGGGTGGGCTTAAGGTGAATTAAGCTTTTCCTACATCTCTCATAAACAAGGTTATGAGGAAAGTTTTACCAAGGTATTTTCTCATTACTTTTAATATCTTGACTGTGCGAAGTGAAAAGTGACACAATAAGTGAACGTTCAGACGAGTTCAAGTTGATTCATAAAGACTATGCAGTCATTTATTTACACAAATTGAACAGATCATAAGTCCACCTGATTGTGGTTATTCCTATAACAAGCTTCAAAGTTAAATGAGATAAAACCCGTGTCCGAATTTTAATTCACATCAACTCAGATTACTTATATAGAACAGTAAAACGTCAGTTCTGATATTACAACCAAACAATTTTACTGGCACTTTCAGCTTAAGTTTTGGCAAATAAAGAACAAAGTGAAGAATGAAAGTAAGGTTAGTATTATACTAATTTTACTTTATCAAGAGTGTGGCCAAACGGATCAGCACGTCCCTTTTGCACTCAGTTTCCACATGACACGTCACCCGGAACACGTCAGTTTTACCTGGTGATGGCTTCTTAAGCGACCCCTGGGTAGTCACTGCCTCACCTCCGATCAGTCAGGGAACGTTTTAATCGGCTCGCTCACTGTTCCTTGGAGAGACAGGTGTTATTTCAGGTAACTTTTCGTCTGTTTCAGTCCAAACCAGAAAGATTCAAGCTGTACATTCGGTTCCTTCATTCAAAATAAAATCTCCCCTCAGGAGTTAAAACACACTTTGGAGGCGAGGAGCCTCGGGTGGGACATACGGCTGGAATGCCGAGTCCCGGCTGTTGGATCTTCCCTAGTAGGCTCATGGGCAAGACCTAACGAGCCAAACTGGCTTCTCCGGAGAGAAACTCAGCTTTCCTTCCAAGTTTGGCATCCAGGAAGAAGTGTGTCACTCAAAGATATCCGTGGTTAGTAATAGAAACGGACGACTTTGGTTCCGCCCTCAAGCGTTAAGATGAGTCAGAGAAAGAAAGATAAAGAGATTTGCCAGGGCGCCAGCTCAAGGCTAAAATTTTGTGGTTGTCACAACAGAATATGATAACCTCTTTTCAGCTTTTCTTCTGATAGACTCTAAGAGAAATCTCTGCAAAACATTTATGATGATTAATAAACATTTCTGTTTCATAATCAGTCTGAACCATTCTGTTAGTCCAGATAAATGAAAGATTTTCTCAAGAAAAATCCACAATTATATTACTGTGTTCCCAGTAAAATAAAAACAGTGATTTA